CCCCAAAACCCCAAAACCCCAAAACCCCATAAAAGAAAAAGTAAGTTGAAAGACATAATTAAATTAGAAAACCACACTATCAGACAAATGCAAGATCGGCTTGTATCTCCACATCTACCATATTTTTCAAGTGACTACTTAGACTCAGACTTGCAGTTTGACGCACATCATCTTTCGCATGGAGAAATCTGAGGATATTTTGATACAAAAGTAATTAGGATTTAAAGAGACGATTAGATATGTTTCCTATAGGATATCTTATTGAATACTTTAAAAATGCACTTCCACTAGGAAGAGATCAGCCTCTAAAATATGCTGAATCTGATTATGATTCTCTAACAATAGTACTCGGTTGGCTAAGAACAACTAGTATTAACAGCTAATGAATAAATAATCTGCTTATAATGTATTTTCTAAAGTTCTCTTAAACTATACCATAAGTTGATCACTTCTGAATGAATATTACAATCGGACATCTTTTTGAATTATGCTCTTAGAAAAACTCCTAAAGCTTCATAAATTTTGTGTTTAAAATGAGCTAAAGTTGTATCAAACTCCTTTAAAAAGCCTCAAATTCTAATCTCATATATAGAACATAAAGATGAACTTCCATGACTTTGGTATCTTCGACGAGGAGGATTATATCAAGTTAATAAGGTCGAACATTGATGCTCAAGAGAAAAACAATCATGAGCCAGCACCAGCTGATGGCTTGCTTTCTATTCAACACTTTGAGATGCCTCCATTCAGCCTAAAGAAAGAAGAGAATTTGCTGTCCAATGAATCTTTTGAATCTCCTGTAATAACCCAAGATTCTACTATGATTCCAATTGAGAAGGATGCTCCTATTGAATTAAATTCTCAAACTCCAATCAGTAAAGAAGAAACTAAGGACTGCTGTACCTCTCCTAAATCTAAGTCACTAAAGAAGAAAGCAGCTAGAAGAACAAGACCAAGAGCAGACCTCTGTCTTAAGAAGACCTTGAGAGACGTCAAGAAGTTCTATGTGCAACTTTTTAAGGCTCAAAACCCTGAAATTGTCAAGAGAAGATATGTCAATTGCAAGATTGAAATGGTTTTTGAAAACATGCAGTGGACCTTGATGGATCTCATGCCTTCAGACTTGATCACCGACGATTTAGTTTATTATTCAATTGGGATTCTTAGCATCAAAAGTCTAGATGACCTTGACTGTAGTAAGAGTGTAAAAATAGAAATCTCTACATATTTAGCAACTATTAGGAATTTTACGATCAAGGGTTTCAATGAAGTGATGAAATCGACTCTTTTCAGATCCCTATGAGTACCTGTTATATTACAAGGAGATAAGGAATCAGCAAGGATACTTCAAGATAAATTATTATTTAATAATCTTTCCTCATAAATGCTCTCCAACACATTTTATGCTTTTAATGATTCTGAGATTTGTGATGCTTCGTCTAAATAACTTTATCATAAATTTAAAATATTTTTTCTTGGTTTGGGATAATTCATGCCTTCTTCTTAATAATAACCATACTATCTCATTAAAGAATGCAAGGCTGTCTAATGAAGATCATTAATTTAGCTAAACAATGATCCCCTTTACTGTTTCAAAATTTTCTTTCATAAGTGATCGAGAAATCTTCTTTGAAATTATTTGGAGAAATATTATCATCTTTTCATGACATTAAATCGAAAATTCGCTAAATTACTTGCAAAAGTTAGGCTTTATGAATTAAAAGATATGAGTTCTAAATTCAAGAATTAAAAGTGTTTAGGATTTAAATTTTACCTCTTTTAATACTTTTCAGAATTGATTCTATTGATCTAAACTCAGTAAGCATTACACAAAAGTAAAACTAGGATACCTACTCAATCACAAAGTTGTAGGATGCATACTATTAATTAAATTACTTCTCAATTCGAAGAATCATCAAGAAGGTAGACCTTCCCTTACCCAGACACTCTCACTGCTCAACTAACTTCCCTAAATCTATTAGATAGCCTCATTTAGGCATAACATCTACTGATCCATCTCCACAGCCTGCATATCTGTTTCAAAAGTGTTAATATCTTCTTTTTCCCAATCAAATGTGTTTTTCAAACAAGTTTATTTAGAAATATTTTTCATAAATTTATGTCATCTAGATACTCCTGCAATTAGTTGAGATTACTCAAATTAGAGAATGACTTGACCGTCAAACATGCTAATTATTTGCAGTAAAATTTCTCCAAGAGTTTAGCCAAAAAGTGGTTTAATCCTGCTATAATTTATAGAATAAAAAGTGAACATAATTTTCAGAATTTAAGGTAAGCTTTCATAACTTTCTCTTAAAAATCTTTGCAAGAGCAAGGATAAGTATCACATAACAATATAACTAATAAAATAACTACGAATGATCAAAATCCTTCCTGATCTGGCACTTTGGGTTTAATAATTTATCAGAATTTCATTTCTTCTTAACAGATCTGATTGTCAGACCATCTACAATGACCTGAAGCATCCTCTAAGCTTGGTAGTACTCCTAAAGTTATTCGCACTGATACAAATTGCCAACTGGATTTCCGAATCTGCCAGGCAATACTAGTAGAAGTTTGCAGTTAATTGGAAATTAAACTCTATCATTTGGAGTGAACTTATTATATTTCAAAGGGATCAGAGAAGCTTCTTTCCCTCTGAAATCTGACTTTCTTGCCACCCTGAGCATTATCTATAACTAAAGGATGAACTAGCCAATTTTTGGCATCATTTAGATAATTCAGTAAATAATTTATAAACCTTAATTTTTCATAAACACTGTCATTTGGTGGAAAACTCTGACCAGAAAACCAAATCGTAATAACCCTACCTTATCTCTTCCATGTCATTTCTCTTTGAAACTTTTAGAGAAGACTTTAGAGCATGGGTTAAAATTTATCTGAAATTTCAGGAGCTATCCAAGGTTGTTTGGGCAAGAACATAATTTTAGGTGATGTTTACTGCCATTTCATCCATATTTTTATGAATTAAAAGAGAAATTTGGGTAAGATTTTTAGAATTTTAAACCTATTGAGGAGTGTTTAGGCAATGATTTGGGATTAATAGCTTTCTTTCAATGATCTAAATTAAGAAACAAGTTTATAAACTCATAAAAGCCTATCATAAAATAATAGAGATATCCTCGGATTCTATGAACGTCCAATTAAATTGGAGGACTCCTAAAATCACCCCTCTTGTAGATATTTCTTCCCTTAATTAGCTTAATGCATTTTCTCATGAATTTAATTGGACGGGCATAGGCTAAGCATAAATTTAAGATTCAAAGCTTCTCAATGCACCCACAGCAAGGGAGGTTTGCTTCAGTAATTTAACAGCCAACGATACTTTTAGGAAGAGGCTGAAATATTCAGTTTAGGGAAATTGCCACTGAAATATTTTCAACTCAGAATTATAAAAATAAGGTATTCTGAGCATAGAGGGTTAAAGCACGCATATATGCCTAACTCGGTTAACTTGATCTTGAGTTTAATGAAAGGAAAGAGACATTTTATGCTCTAAAATCCTTCATCTCTTTAAGCCATCTTATATGCTAATTTTAGGCACTCCAGTTTGAAATGAGGCCTATGATTGAATTACAATCACAAGTATTTGGATTTTGGAACTGAAATCTTCTTATTGTATTTAATAGCAAAGAAATAGATAAAAATGATTCAGATATTTTCATAAAAACTAAGATTTGTGTTATTAATATGAAGCGCCAAAAGATGCACAAGTTGACTCTAAACTGGATACTATGGCTTATGAGCATATAAAGCTATTGTTTAAAGTCTTTCAAACATCAGATTCTCAAAAGCTTAATGGTGTGTGAAGATGGCCAATATTAGCATATCAAGCCAAGACTGTCTATATGCTTTAGTCACTCATTTCATATCTATCTGAAGGTAGGTTATTTTATCAAAGAGTTTTGCACTCTTCAGAGGCTAGTCATGAGTTATCCAATAGGCGCCTCATTCTATTAAAGACCTAGATAGTTCTGTTGGTTATCTCAAATTATTTTTATTAATGAATCCTCCCTTTTCATCTGAATGGATTCATTCCAACAAAGAAATACATGAATCATGGCCTCGAGAAGAATTTCAAAATGAGCTTTTAAGTACTTTTTAGCTTGCTTGGAGGATGAATTATGCTCAATAGAGTTAATATGCGGATATTTCTACATCATATCCCTTGCATGAAGAAGCTAACAGAGTGGTTTAAATTTGATATGTTCGTAGATATTAAGTTCCATATTTAAAATAGAATTTCGTCTATAAAATGTTGGGTTCCCGGGGTTTTGGGGTTTTGGGGTTTTGGGG